ACCCATGAAAGATTATTATTAGTCAGCAGCCTAGCAGCTTCATACACGAGCAATTACATGTATACGTGTGTATGTATTTAGAAAGAAAACTGTTTTGATACGAAACATCTCATACAGTTATACCTAAACAATTAATATTAAAAGGTATTTAAAATCATATAACTTCTTTAAAAGTTTAAATGACTTTTATATTTAACTTTGACTATGTTTGTAACAATTGAGAACATAATTGATCAACATCTATTATACATTTTTCTCCTTGTACTGTTACGTTGTTTCTTCTACACATTTATATAAGTACAAAATAAAGATCCAAACAATCTTGTATGCTAGTGATCTGCTAAAAGGAAGAAGATTCGTTCCTAACAAGGCATTATTGCGTATAAAATCTAACAACCATCTCCTTAAATTGATTTGCTGGGAAGATATTGCACTATTCAACATTCTCTGGATAACGATGTATCTTTGTAAATTATCGTTGTCTTTATATATGTCAATCGCTACATGTAGGGTTCTCCCTTCTGTGGGCATTTGGAAAAGGATTTGAGTATAAACTACTATATATATTGCATATAATTTAATTTTCTATTCAAGTTTAAAAGTAGTAATTATTTTTTACTGGGATTATTAGCATCTTCGAATCCAAATATATAATCATATACTAAAGTGAATCTTTTAGAAACCAGTTAGGTGATAATCGTGGCCAGAGTCTTTAATGATATCATTTTAATGTTAAGGGTCAATTTAAAAAAACACGAATAAGTGTACATATATAGTGGGATTGTCTATTGTATCACACGAGCATATGATGTAAAATATTAAATATTTTAAATTAATTAAAATAAATAAATATTAAATTACTATTATACTATTTAAGTTAAAAATAATAATTTTTAGATAAAATTAGTCTTTTCATTTTTTAACTTTAGCAAAGATTTCATTTATGTCTTCTACCTTTTTATTTATTTATTTTAATTTTCAAAGACATTCTATATTATGCTAACGTAGCCTTAACACTGTTAGTTAGTTATATCTATGCTTTTTTATTTAAAAATTATTAAAAAGAAAAATGTGAAGCTTGAGTGTGAACTCTCATACTCTAACAATGTAGTCACGAAATTACTGTTATCCACCTTTATCCTTTTATTAGATGGCAGTGATTTCTCTTTCTATTCAGATGTAGGTGGAAACTTCCTTTCATGACATGGGTTTACATCCTTCAATATAATGAAAAGGACTGAACCTTTGCCTTAAATGTCCAATTCCAAATTTTGCACAAAAGAAAGACGCGATCTGTATGCCCCTACGCTTCTTTATAGAGCTCAGGTACAAACACTAATAAGTTAATCCATTGCCATTTTTATATGAATTATTGTTGCCATATTTACTAATGCACGTGCATCGTATATGAAGCATCAAAGTAGAATTATTTCTTGCAATTTCTATTTCGTTAGATTCATTGTGAATTGTTGTCAATAATAAAACTTACTGTTAACCTATAGTTCTACATTTTCTAGTTACTGTTAACCTATAGTTCTACATTTTCTAGTAACTAGTTGAATCCCCGATTAGTTACACTTGGAGAGAGTCATGCTATATATATATATATAGAGAGAGAGAGAGAGAGAGAGAGAGAGAGATATGAAACATTACATTTAGAATGAAATGTATAAATTTCAACTACAAAATTTGAAAAAATCACATAATTATTTAAAAATTACATGATTTTTTAAAAGATTCACAGCACTTATATATTTTAATTCTAATTATTTATGACAATGAAATATTACGGTCAAATAATTAAATAATTCAATAATTGAATTCATAAAGTTTAAATTTTATTATATTATATATATATATATATATATATATATTAAAAAAAATCAAACTCCATGTAATTATTTTATGAAAATTTGAAGATGGAGGGCTATAGCCCCCAACCTTATCTCCCTTACATCTGTTCGCATGGATGTGTGTCTAACACAAGATCGGTCACGACTATATTTAGAGTTGTCTTTGCTTCTTAGCAGCAAAACAAATAGCCATAAAAATATCTTTTCATTATAACACCCATTAATTATTATAAAATTTATAGATAAAATTAACTTACCCTTATTTTAACAGATCGCATTTAACAATTTAAATTATATTATGAAAACACTAATTTTTACACTGACATGATACATATTTTTAATTTAATCATTTAAATAAAATAATAATAATAATAATAATTTCTATATTATTTCACTTACTTTCTATCATTTTGTACGTTGCTTCACCCCCTCCCTTCCCATTTTATCCCGTCTTATGGATATATGCATGCGCTCATTGGTCAATTAATTCTTTACTTAACTACGAGTAAATGATTAGTTTATTCAGTTCACATGCAATTGTTGATCGGTGTAGTGTGGCCATTCTCGAAACTCCCCTTTTACGGTACACTCTTCCATTTAATTAAGAAACTAGTAACAATAATATTTTTTCTAATACATTCTTTATTATTGATTAAAAATTAAAAAAATTAAAAAACATTAATTTAAAAATAAAAAATTGGTAAGACTCACATAATTTTTATGGTAAATTTTAGTTAATAATTAAAAATATATTACAAAAAATATATTACTAACATTATTCAAATAGAACTAACACAATTATAATATGTCTTTGAGTTAGTTTTTACGTTCTATGAATAATAACATGAGAAATGAAAATTGTATCATAAATATATATATATATATATATATATATATATATAAATCTTTTTTTCACAAATTGAAAAACATATGTATATGATGGATAACATAACAAAGAAAAATTTAATTTATTATAAAAGTATTATAAGTCTTATACTTTTTAAAGTTATCGTTCAGCATGAAATACTATTTATTTCTATTAAGAAAACACTGATCTTCAAAATATTCTCTTAATGTGAGATTGGATGACGTACTTCTTGATGTTGAAAGTCTTTCTTTGTCTAACGTAGGAAGTGTACCTGAAAAAGGTGCTCTGATAATAAAGTCAGGTATCGATTTAGATAATAAATACTATTTAATATTCAAAAGTTCACCCCTTACTTGTACCCTCTTACTTTCTTTTTATAGACAATATTATAAGCTAATGAACTTTGTAAATCAGCTTTGATTTTAGTCTTGTAATTAAGTAAATAATAATTTAATTATTTATTTTAATAGATTTAATTATTCTTTAATCTGACCGATGTGTTACTCGTCTTACTGAAATTGAAAGGATATTTATATTTTTTCTTTTATCTTTAATACCAAATGGTGTCCTACCCAGTACACTACTAATTATTTGCAAATGTATGTATATGATTCAATAATTTATCTGCAGGCACCTATTTTAAAATATATTTTTTAAACATGAATTATAGATATATAATAAAAAGTGATAAATAACAAATATTTATTTAAATAATTAATGTATTTGATCGTATTTTTATATTCTTATTACATATCTTTGATACATATTTAAAAAAAAAGTGTTAAAAATAATTCTAAGAGAATATTATACTCTTGGTCCAATAAATGACACGTTGGTAGTGTGTGTAGGTGATTTCACAGTTCATGAGTCTGAGTTTGAATTTGTGTACCGTACTTGACGATGCAGACATAAAATAATAACAATGTTCATAGTTTTGGTTGTTTTTACTTAATACTTGATACGAAGTTTCTATTATGTTGCTATCAATAGTTATAGGGATCCAACTGGGGACGGTGTTTGCTGTAGTGTGGATTTGTCACGTTCTTCGTTTTGTTAACTCATCTTTCGACATTTAGTATTCCATGGATTCTTCTCTTATTATTTTTATTTTTTATTTTATTATTATTATTATTATTATTATTATTATGCACTAAGGTTATCTCAGTAAATAACCAAAGATTAATCCCTCTTCAACTGATAGAAATCATCAAAACGAAATTTGTCTTATTATAAATGGATGAAACTAATTTTCAAATTTTAATTAAAGAAAAATATTGCCCAAATTTTAAAAGAAAATTATTTTAAATTGTCAAAATTTCAAAAATTATTAAATATTTTAGTCACATTTTAAATCAAAACATGTTAATGTATTTCTTTCATTTAAGTCTTTTTTGTATATGCGAATAAGAATCAATCATTTATCAACATGTTTTGAATAGCTAAATTCGAATTACTATTTCTTTATCTATTATCTTATATATTTTTAAAACTGCTATTTTTAAACAGATACTCTCCTGGCTCTCTCTCCTTCACATCATTTATTCATCTTCTTTTGTATTTTGGTTATAATTTCTTTGCTAATTCTTTGATCGAGATGGATTATTGTATCTCGGAGAATTATACTTAGGCAAATAAATAATGACAGTGTTATCACACACTTGGACCTTGGACCTTGGACCTATGTGTATTTACAACAGTTTTATAAATAATATGTGTGCCTGTTATTTGTTTTACTATTTTTGCAAGGCCATTTTAGAGAAATATCATTCCAGCACCTTTGTTTCACGTGCAAGGAAGAGAGAGATAAAAAGAAAAAAAAAATTGATGATGTTATAAATAAAGAATGTATGAAAATAAAAAAATAAAGAGAATGTGAACATGAAAATATAAGAGTTTCTGAATTTATAATAAGAAAACGACATCTATAATTTACATTAGCTGAGGACGGTTTCAACTACAGGCAAAATTATTATGCCCCTGATATCTGTATGGCTTAGCAGGCTTATTATTTGGCTCTTCGATATCCGCAACGAGTCCTATAAAACCATCACTCTTATAGTGATCTTTCAACCCCAAAAAGGTACCACATTATGTTATATATCTTTCTTATGCTTTGTTCAACTTGCCAACCTTGATTTTCCTCCGTGCATTTCATCATTTATGTTTTTCCTCTGTTTTGATTAACATGGCAGATTGTTGAGGAGTGGCCTTATCCCGAAGGATCTTTCCCTCATTGCCATTCTCTTCTTGTGATTAGAATTTGCTTCAAGCATTTGAGTGTTTGTGTGAGATTTACATTCCAATGGACGAAAATGGCTGTTGCAACCAACCCAACAACAAGTGGAAGTTGCCTCTCTTTGTTTTCATCAAAGATGCAAGGTATTTGATATATATATATATATATATATATATATATATTGCCCATTAATTGAATAATATGGTATTTGATATTGTAGTTTACTCTTCTTTGTTTTTCACCTTTTGTGTTGATGGGAATTGAATTTCCTTGACATACATTGCATTTGCTTGAAGCTCCCAAGTGAAAAAGTATTCATGTAGTTTTATACATGAACTCTACTAATACTTTATTAATTTTGCTAATGTAAATAAATGAAGGCATGTTTTCAAGCTGGATGCACTTTCTCGGGAGATATTAGGGATTGCATTCCCCTCAGCATTGGCTGTTGCTGCTGATCCCATTGCTTCTCTGATAGACACTGCATTCATAGGCCACTTGGGTATTTTTCTCTTCATTTCTTTTCAACTTTAACTTGATCTAACAAATCTCGGTCACAGATATAAGTGGCAATTTTGTTAAGTGGAAAATAAGGTCCTCATTTAGATTTTAAGACAACTGTTTAGTGCTGACTATAGAAGAACTTGCACACATCATTGATTTGATGCACATTCAGCCATCTAGTAACATGTGATGACATCGTTTCTATGTATTATTAATTGATTAAGAATTAATATTGTTAATTTTTTTGTAAAATTATGAAAATCATTTTTTTCTTGAATTAGCTTTTGGAAATAATTTTGTTCCAATTCATTTTTAATTCAGTCTGAGAGGCCATAAATGTATAATCTTACACATGAAGGATATATTAAGATGTCCACTTCTAATATCTGGCACCACTAACTTGAACACTTTTCGTATATGCTTTTATTACAAAAGAGGTACACTTGTAATTTGCACTAGCCACGGTTTTCTGATTTTGGGTTGAAATTGCTCTTGCTTCACATCGAGTTCGTTTAATTACTAGTTGCCATTTGCGTGCCTTAGTTACGTGAATAATGTCTATGAAATTTGTAACTGGAATCGTTTAATTATATTTTGGGTTTTGATGAAGCTAACTCTTCCTTGTGATAATTTAGGACCGGTGGAACTTGCTGCTGCAGGAGTGTCCATTGCATTGTTCAACCAAGCTTCAAGGATTACCATATTCCCTCTTGTCAGCATTACCACTTCCTTTGTGGCTGAGGAAGACACCATTGAAAAGCTGAACATCAAAGTAGCTGAAAATGATAATAATAATAATAATAATAATAATAATAAAAAGGCTAAGTTCAGTGAAGTTATTATGCTTGAGGATCATATGCTTCAAGACATAGAAAAATGTACACCCAAAGAGAATATTATTGAGGCTCCAGAACGATCTATGGAGGGAAAAAATGAATCAAAGGATCTCATAGTGAAAAGTGTTGCACCTGAGGATGTGGAAAATAACGCTACTGGGAACAACGACACAAAAATTGGAGATGGTGCTTTTCCTCTATAATCTTTTTATCATTATTAACGATGTTCATACACTTCCATAGAATCTCCATCTTTCTTTTGTCTCGTCTTTTTTCTTTTATTACATTAATTTTTTTCCTTTTTTTCTTTTTCTTTTTATGTCTCTCTTTCCTCTACCTCTACATTCTAAAAGTGGTATATAAAACAAAGATTATCCTTTCTATGCCTAGATATAAGATAAGTAGAGTACTAGACCTAGCACATGCATTGTTATCAACCTTTTTTCTTATCATATGTTGTTGACATGTATAGAGAAATTGAAAGTAAATATATGTTGGAGTATATTCAGATATATATCTTTGAGTGTCGTTGCTTGAGTTACTAAAGATTAATACTGTATGTCAAATGGTATATTATTATTTATTATTATTATTATTTACGTACATAAATCCTAAAAATATGTTATAATTATAAAAAGAGATACTTAAAATATTTCCTTTTAATGATTATTTTTTACTTAATTACTTTGCAGTTGCCAATACAAATATATGCAAAACTTCATGGATTACTAATAGTAAGAAGAGTAAGGACAAAGTTGAAAAGAAGAAGAAGCGACGTATTGCTTCAGCATCAACAGCTCTACTTTTTGGCACAATCCTTGGCCTCATTCAAGCTGCAGTTCTCATATTTGCAGCCAAACCACTATTAACCATTATGGGTCTCAAACGGGTAAGCTTCTTCATCATCAAGACTATACTACCAAGAATTAGAAATATAAATTTAGATTATGAAAATATTATTTTACTGATTACAAAAATATTGAAAAATTCCTATGTTTAAAACTTCTAATTTTAAATTTTAGTTTATTTAATAGAATATTAATTTTACCTAATTTTTAAATAAAGAGGCCCATATAATATATTTATTGAAGAAATATATGAATTAAAATAAGTAAAATCTCTTTCGATTGAATAACTAATGAATGAAAGAAAAAATATTAATTTAAATTAATATAAAAATTCATAAGATGTTGCACAAAAATAAGAAAGACATGTGATCTAAAAAAAGAGAAAACATATAAAATCATTTCATTTTAAAAAAATAAATAAAGACTAAAATATTTGTACTACAATTTATTTTTAAAAACTAAAAACTATTTTTAAAAAGTAAATAAACATACTCTAAAAAATTTAAAATATACAGGATAAATTACATTCTCTTTCTTTTAATAATGCATGTATTACACCGTCCTCTGTTCTATTTTAAAATTATATAACTCCTTCTCTTAAAATAATTAACATACTTCACAATTTAATATATTTAAAGTTAAAACATTGTAAAAAAACCATAGTTTAATTTTCGTTAAATTTATTTATTTATTACATATAGTTTATTTTTCATTTATGTGTCTTAATTTCTTAAATTTTTTTATATTCTACCTTTTTTTTAATGTATTAAAGTTGCAAGTGGTTTTATTATTTTTTCATTAAAGGTGAGAATTTTATTTACTTTTATTATTATTGTTCGATGTTTAGATAAGCCTTTAAAACTCTTATAACCATGATGAGTACTTATTGTTCTATAAAAAGTATATTGAGTTTTTTGAACTTCTTAAAATATTGACAAATAAAATGTAAAATTTATTTTAAAAAATATTTTGATAAAAAAATATTAAATAAGTGTTTAACAATGTTTTAACAAAAAAAAAAAACTTAAAATAAATTAAATTGTAATTTATTTTAACTTTTTAGGATAAGAGTTATGTAATTTCAAAATATAAAGAAGGGTAGTGTAAGGATGCATGTTACATATCTTTCTTGATTATTGAAAGTATATAAAAATTTGCGTATACTTGCTTTACTTTGGTGGATCTATTTCTATTTGTTTAGGATTCTCCTATGTTGAATCCAGCAGAGAAGTACTTAAGATTGAGATCATTTGGGGCTCCTGCTGTTCTTCTCTCCTTGGCCATGCAAGGAATCTTTAGAGGGTTCAAGGACACGACAACTCCTTTATATGTCATCGGTAGGTTGAGATTATCTATTCTACTAAGAATGAAGCATATTTTGATCCTTTGTTTTATTTTCAAACATTTTCCTTAACTCGGTATCTTTGTTATTTTGTTTGATTTTTAGCTTCTGGATATGCATTGAATGTCGCATTGGACCCAATATTTATTTTCGTATTGAAAATGGGCATCAAAGGCGCAGCCATTGCTCATGTTCTCTCTCAGTAAGTCTTGCTTATATATTGAAATAAAATAATTCTTTTGTCTGTATAAATATAGTTAAATATAAGTTTCATCCTACAATTTTATTTTATTTTTGTTGATTTTAATCTTCCTAATTTTTAAAGTTTTTTTGAAAGGAGTTGTTATTATTTATTAATGATGTAACATGTGTTTAGACATGTCACTTTGCATGTTACCATTAAGTGATAATAAGGATCATTTTAAAATTTCATCACAATTATAACTAACAAAATAAATGCTGAATAACCTTTATACTAGTTAAACATGTTTAAGCTTATTGGAAGAATAATTGTTAATCATTTTTCATGTTCTTACAAAAAACGGTGTTATCCTTATAGGTACGTGATGGCATTCACTCTCTTTTGGATATTAATGAAAAAAGTGTATCTTCTACCTCCAAGCTTAAAGGATTTGCAGATTTTCCGATTTCTTAAAAATGGTAAGGTTGTTATACATAGAATTGTTGTACATTCCTTATTACTATTGAAATAAAAGGGTCAAAAGTTAGTCACATGCACAAATTTCAAATACATAGCAATTAATCAAGCATAATTTGACCCTATACATATACCATACTAGCTAGATTGTTAGTTTTTAAAGTCATCAATTAACTCTATTTTTTTATTTTCATACTCTCTCAATTTTTTGCACCTATATATTACCATATTGAATGAAAATTAATGGCAAATTTTTTCATATAATTATGTTGGATTTTGTGTTCAATTTCTTGGTTAATTGCAGGAGGTTTTCTGATGGCAAAAGTTGTAGCAGTGACATTCTGTGTGACCTTGGCAGCATCATTGGCAGCAAGGCTTGGTTCAATTCCCATGGCTGCATTTCAAACATGCCTTCAAGTTTGGTTGACATCGTCCCTTCTTGCAGATGGTTTGGCTGTTGCTGTTCAGGTGCTCATATTTTTCCTTTATCTTTGGGAATAATATAACTCTTTCTTACTAAGCTTTAGAAAATGTCATCTATTTTTATTTATATATAATTACAAAAATACCACTTTATTTTGCTTTCTTTGATTCTTGTTTTCGCAATTGTCTATATAAATTTAAAAACAAAAATAAAAACAATGTGACATTTTTTTTTGTAATTATTCATACCAATAAAAAGGTATTATTATTCCCTTACAAATTTATAGAAACATAAAATAAAATAAAATACGTAATATTTTTATAATCAAAACAAATATAAAATATATTCTCAGAACCAGCCCCTAAAATTTTCTCAAAACAAACAAACTCTTAAGTTCTCAAAATCTTCACTTTGTGCAATAAAGATAAAATAAATAATACTAATAAGATTCCCTACTTCACAGGCAATTCTAGCATGTTCTTTTGCTGAGAAAGACTATAAAAAAACAACAGCTGCTGCAACAAGGACACTTCAAATGGGTTTTGTTTTAGGAGTGGGGCTCTCTTTTGCTGTTGGGGTTGGATTATACTTTGGAGCTGGAATATTCTCCAAAAACATTAATGTTGTGCACTTAATTAAAATAGGCCTTCCGGTATGTCCCTTCAATAAGAAGTCAACAATGGAAACCATATGTTTTATGTGTGATTGTTAATTATATACCTAATCTTCATTTATATATAATAATCCACCAGTTTGTGGCTGCTACTCAACCAATCAATTCATTGGCCTTCGTCTTTGATGGTGTCAACTATGGAGCTTCTGATTTTGCATATTCTGCATACTCTCTGGTAAGTTCACATGCCCATTTTTTTTAATAAGGAAAATGTTAGATATATAGCCAGCCTTGCAGTATCTATACCCAAAAGGAAATAAAAATATAGAAGGACAAATAATAATAAATATGATGAATAATGTATTAGAAAGGGAAACACAGAAAGAGATAAGAAGGTCAAAATGCCAAAGTGATCATAATATGTTTTACCATTAATTTAAATTTAAATATTTATAGACATAACTAATTTTAAATTAACACTAAATTAATTCTTGCTTTATATATATATTTTTCACTTTGGACGAGTTAACAGATAATGAGAGTTGATAATTTTACCGTTCAATTTTATTAATTTTTTTAGTGGCTATTTTGCCTTTTATTCAGGTCTTGGTGTCAGTAGTAAGTGTTGCTACAGAGTTTCTTCTCTACAAGGCCAAACATTTCATTGGGATTTGGATTGCACTCACCATTTACATGACTCTTCGGATGCTGGCTGGAGTCTGGAGGTAACTTAATTTCCTTTTCAGAAAACCATTCAGCTATTCCATCTTCAAACTGGTTTTCATACACCTTACTCATAAATATGTAAATTGAAAGTTAATCACATTTTCTAATGATAGAAGAAATGCATGACACCAACCCAAAGACACTTTACACATATTGAGGAACTGCTTGTATATATTTAGGATCTATAACATCAAATATATACACAAGAAAATCTCAAGCACACATTTTCAGTATTTAATTTTTTTTTTATTATAATGTTTTTCAACATTTTGTCCGTTTAAATTTGTATAAATTTTATATTCTGATTTTGGGTTACACACTTGATAATACATGCAGGATGGGAACTGCAACAGGACCTTGGCGCTATCTGAGAGGCCATTCATTGCCTTAGGATATCTCTCTCATGAGTTTATGAGGGAAATTTTGTCGTCCATTAGTAAATGTTCGATCTGTATCACATTTTATTGTATTCTTTTCCCTAAACGTACTATATATATTTTTGTGATTTTCTTTCTTACCTTAGACTGCCCCCATTTATACGTCCTATCTTATGTATTCTACTCTCCATTGTTCTCCTTCAGGAATTAGGGATGTATCATTATACTCATTTTGGTTTTGTAGTATTTAGAATATTCTTATTCTTATTATTAGATCATTTCCAATAATGATATATGTTATGCTCATGTTGCTTAAATTTTTAATTGTTCTTTTTAATACATGGTCTTATTACTTTGTAATTCTTAAAAAGTTTAAAAATTAGTTTGTATACTTAAGATGCTATAAACCACATAAGGCAAAATATAACAAAATTTTGTGTGAAAACTAAAATGTAAGTTTTTTAAGTATAAAAACTAATTTATAAATAAATATTAATTATAATAATAAAATATGTATTTTAACTAAAAAGTAAAAAGGAATTGTAGTAGATTTGTTTAGAAAAAAATTAAAAGTAAAGTATTAGATTAAAAATATTGTGAATTTTTAACAGACAAAAATTTATATTTAACTCAAAGATTATTATTTATAATGTAAGATTATTTATATTGATAGATAAAACATTTATTAATTTGATGAATGCATAGATTAATAAAAAAAAATCATAATCATAGTTAATAAAATACTACGAGGAGTTCAAATATGACAAAAACTTTTTTTTACAACTGAAAAAAAAAAACTAAACATACCTAAATAGTTCTTTTTCATAGCTAAAAAATTTAATTAATAAATAATATTAACAGAGATAATAAGAATTATTTGCCTATATCTTTGTTAAAAAAATTAAAAGTTTTCTAATTTAATGAAGTTAATATTTCAAAATTTTGAGTAGCAGTATAGTTTTATATTCTAAAAATAAAAAAAAAATTATTTTTATAATTTTTTTTAATATTCTATGAAAATGATATATTATATATTAATTGAGATATTTTTATATTAAAAAAATTATGATGAGAATGTTAGTACTCATACTTTATTTATTTTTCTATAGGTAGGATAAAAAGTAAAAGTAAAAATAAAAATAATTTTTTATTAATATAACATCAAATATGTTTTTAAGATAAATTTCTCGACCAAGTTTAATATTTTGCATTCTTTTAAAAATTTTATTACTTAAAAAATACATATTTAATTTTTATAGTCAACAAATTAGACTATAAAAATACAATTTTATTCTTATACAAGTATTTTATTTCATTTTAATTTTTTTTAACAGTATTATAATAACAATGATCAAAATATAAGAAAACATTTATATATAGAAATTAAAATGTAAATATTTTAAATACAAAAGTAAATCAACCATAAAGATTAAATATATTATTTAACCTTTTAAAATTCGACTAGTTGATTCGGTTAAATTATACGTTTAAATATAAAAAAATGGGTCAAAGTGATAAGAAAAGTCAACTAAAATTAGTTAAAAGAAACTAAGAACTAATGTTTAAAAATTAGTTTGAACCAACTTTTTAGAAAAAGGACATTTTTTTATAGTTTGAAACAAATATTTATAAAATATTTTTAAAACAAATAAAGACTTAAGTTTGAATTTCTGTTGTTTAATGTATAAAATATATTCTTATTAATTTTAACTATTTTTTGAGAAACATGGAAGACACTATGCGTACATGACTAGCCTGACAACACTAATGAATTTGCTCTCAGTCTCACTCTAATGAAGACATGAAGAAGCCTCAATCAATATTGAAGCTTTTCTTTTGTTGAGAGAAAGAGTTTGACACTGAATGTAAGAACTATGTGTCTTTTTCAAGAGAAAACAGATACCAATGCTCTTTCTGCCTAACCAATTTGCTTTCCCACTCCACTCACTGCTAATTATTATTATAATAATATAATATCAGATCATTGTTGCTCTATTAAGCTTTCCAAGCTTGTTACAGTTTTAAAAAGAAACAATTTATTTTTTATAAAAGTTAAAGTATCATTTTAATAAATTATCCAATAAAGTCAGTATTTTAAACTATTACAAATTATTGATGTAAAATTTTAATTTAAACTAATACTGTATATATTTTTAAAAATTATAGCAAATTTTATCTTTTAGAAAAATGGGCCCAAAGTATGCATATAAATAATATTATTTTGTGTGAGGCCCAATGATTCCTGCGCCACGCTGATCCCTACTATTCCTCATTATGAACCCAATGTTGACACTTTAGAGTAATGAAGTGAAGTTGAGCTTCCACTTTAGACTTCTATAGACTTTCCAGGACATTATCATTTCTTTTCCCTCTTTTCATAGGTTGGCCTCCAAAGTCAGAACCATGGGATTTCATTCTATAAAGTGGAAGAGTGCTACCATCCACTGTCAAAAGAAAAAATCAGTGACCCCTGCATAACCCAAGTTCAATTTGGATAAATTTTTGTGTGATATTAATGGAAAAGTTTGAAAGTGTATCAAGTGACATTAAAAGTGTGTAGAGAAGTCTTTTTCATATTTCTATGTTTAATTTATTTGTTTTTTTTATAAAAAAAAATACTTTCAAATTTTTAATTTTTCCTTTCTTTGCCATAATATACAATTTTTAAGGTATTTTTATTCTAAACAATAAAAGAATTAGACGTTCGAGTAACAGAATAACTTTTTCAATTTTCACACATTTTTAAAAATATATAATATTAGACATTTTCTAAAAGTAATTATATTCTATCCAATATAAAAAATTAAAATTACTGATTAAATTAAACTAATTTTCTATTAGTTGATCAAGTGTTTGATAAAAAGAAATAGCGAGTAGCAACCTAGGTTTTTTAAGTTCCAAAGAGAAACCCACTTATATCAAAAGGCCAAAATTCAAAATAAAAAATTAACAGGCATGCGAATTTAGTGACCCTACAGCTTGGACGAGGTTCACACTATTTTAAAGCTAATTTAATGCTTGGGAATTGGGACCCTAGCATAGTTAAAATAAAGTACCTTTTAAGTTCTTTAAATTATACATATATGACAAAATTTTTATATTTAATTTAAATTTATTATTTAACGAATTATAATATTAAATTTAAATTATAAGTAAGAGATTTTAGACTTATATTAATATAAAAAAAATTATTTTTTTATATATATATAATTATGACTATTAATTTAAAACTTAAATTAAGATAATGTACATAATAAACTAATAATTTATTATTAAATATATAAATCAATTAGTAATAAATATCTTTTAATTTAATATGTGATTACAAGTTTGAGTTTAATGAATATAATTAAATTAAATATTTGAAAGAAAAAGTTTATATATGCATAAAAATTAAAATTATCACTTTAATTTTACAATTTTCTTGATGAATTTTTATTTATATTCTAAAGATATTATTAAATTAATTTTTTAAAATAAAAATAATATTTAAAAATAAATATTTTTAAAATTAAGAAATAAATTATAAAAATTAAATTAACAATAAATATCTAACGTAAAAAGAGTTTGTGTGACATAATGAAAAAAAATACTAACTCTCAGAAACGTTCTTATTTAATAAAAATTCTTAAAACTTTAAGAATGAAAATTAAAATTTAATAAATAAAAATTAGAGACAAATTTGCAAAAAATTATAAATAGTGAAAATAACAAACAACTTATACATTTAATACTTTCATGCAAAATTTTAAATAAAAAATTAAGAAAAATATGATATTTTTTCTAACACTTATGTTAAAATTGTTTTGTTGTATAATTTTTTATAAATATAAAAATTTTACCAATCAATTGTTGGATTAAAATTTTTATTAAATAAATAAATTTACAAAAATTCATATCAATAAAAAAAATTAGCATTTCATTAAATAACTTCATTTTTAACGTATAATATACGTTTTAAATTATAAGTAAATAGAGAATATAAAATTATGTCCACAACATATAACTCAACTAAAACCTAGTACATAACAACATATTAATAAATTTAATATTTTATATAAAATTGCTAAGTGAAATAATTTTGTAAGAATGATTGCTAAAATAAGTTAATCTACACTTAATATTTTAATAATCATTTGTAAAAATAAAACTATTATTTAAAACCAAACGTGTCATCAAACTTTGTTATTTACTCCATTTATATATAAATTTTAAAAAAAGATAGTATTTTATAATTAACTGATGAAAATTAAAAATTTATTATTTTTAAATGATTAAAATCAACCTAAGAACCAAAATTAATAAAGCCATGCATAAAATTAGTGTAATATTATCGAACAATAAATAAATCTTAAAACGCATTAAACATCTCTTATGTAATACCAAATATTGCATCTCATCAGTTATGAAATAGCATTAGTGGTCACATTAATTAAAAAATACAAATTATACATTAATACATTATATAATTTACTGATGAATTACTTCGTAAATACAATTATTCAGTGATTTAGATAGTAAAAGTCATGTTTATCAAGTTGGGGCAACCAGAAACACCAAGTACAGTTGGCGCACAGAAGAACCTACCCTATACCATATCCACCCATATGACATTGGTCAACTGTGCAGTATTGCCAGACCATCGAGCAACATAATTAATACCAACCCTGGATCTTGTATTTTATCATTCAATGCACAAAGCAAATACTATATATATACACACACACACACACATTAAATTACATTAAATTCAATAATTTGCAATAAAAATTTATTATACATTTTATTATGTGCAAGATTACACAGAAAAAACGAATAATGAAAAAAAAAAAAAAAACCCGTCACTAGTTTCACAGTTAAAAATCATATATAAAAAAAGATTCCAAATTCATCCCATCTCCCTTACAAAACACTTGGTGCGAAGAGTACTACTTGACATTGCATTTAATTAATGAAAGTAGATACAGAAAAAAGGGGTCAAAAGAGAAGAAGAAAAAAATACATTGCATTTGAATTTGAAAACAAGATGATAACCAGCACGCACAATTCAAGGTAATACATCATAGGAACATAGTAAACTTTTCACTATCTATTGTGATCTGCAGTAAAATATTCAAGTAGCGCAGATCATCTCTAATTATTCCCTCAAAAAGATAAGAACTTCAACCTTAGTAGGCAACAGCAAAATATGACTTGGCTTAACTTCAGAAAGAACTTTGCGACAAACTCAAGCCTATGGCTTTTTTTCACTATAAACCGTCTAGCTTGCTTGATAGGGAAATCAGAACTGCAGTAAAATGGAAAAAGGGAGAATCCTGATACGGGGCGTTTTGGAAGAAAAATACATAACCTCGACACGATTTCTCCCCTATTGAATATTCAGACAGCCCCAGAGAGACTTGTTCACCTCTCTCGAAGCTCTGTAGTAAAATAATGGATGGCAAATATTAAAAAAGAAGAAAAAAATAGAATATCGCTTGGCAACTTTGCGGCCAACCCCCTTCCTTTACCACACTTCCTTCTTGTCTTCCCAAAAAAATTCAGCAAAAGAATATGTACCTCAGGAAAATTAAATACCTATCTCAACAAGATGTAAAGGGTCAATTTGACTAGACTACAAGCTGATCCAGTTGCACTTGCTCCAGCCAAGTTCCTAAAACAGAATGATCAATGGGTTCAATTTGGGAATTGGAATTCAGTCCATCAGCAGATGCAGCAGGTTCAGAAGATGCAAAGTTCTCTTTGATCATCTCAGGTGGAGATTCCTTCACCAGAGATTGGACCCAGGATAGATCAGGCTCTTCCCCATTGTTTTTAAACTCAAATGAGGATGATTTTTGCATCTGATGACCAACATCATCTCCATTTACTGACCAATCAACTTTTCCATTAGGGGAACCCCACTTAGACCAACTGTTTATAGGGGAGCCAACAATTGAGGCGGGACTATAAGCACCAAGTTCCCTTGAACTAATACTGCGCAGCTGTTGCTGCTGCTTCTCGCGTTGAGCAAATGCAGATAAGCGAGCACTCATTGGGGAGATTGGTTCAACACTTCTTGGAGACATCCTTCCAGAAGGAGAAACACCAAATGAAGTCTGTAGCATAGAATGCTCAACATTCCTAGGAGAGAGAACATCTGTATTTAAAGGCGATAACACACACTGCAGCTGTTGAAACTGATTGAGAACGGCTGATTTGTGTGTAGGGGAAAACAGAGAAGTCATTGCTAGGTCAGAATACCGGGGAGATGAAGAAACCTCAGAAGGAAAAAGCTCTTCCAGATTTGACGGAGTCAGTGTCTTGGACCGGCCAGGTCTACTCACTGAAACAGCACCAGTTCGAGGCTGTAAGAAACAGCTCAAGTCATTCAAAGGGTGCTGCTGTCCATCAAAATCAGGCAAACAATTCAAGTGTTCTGGTGGAATGTCACGAGCACTAAGGGAAGACCTCAACCTACTAGATTGAAGATTGCTTCCTGGTAAATGAAGAGCTGGCACATTTGGTTGTGCCCAAGCAGCAGAAGAAAGTGACATGCAATTTGCAGACGGAGACATCGGCTGGGCAAAGTGGGATGGGGACAAGGACGAGACCGAGGATGGTGAACCCGGCAAAAGGCCCATTACAGCAGCCATGTCCATGACGTTTGGGGCTGAGGCAGCAGATGATCGGGGTGAAAGGACAGCAGATCCACTGGAAACATACAGTGGACGCAGCTCCTCTGCAGTGTGAGCGAAAAAACACACCCTTCTATTGCAACTGGTGCCATCTTTGCAGAGGCGTGTCCGATACTGAGCTGGGTGTAGCCAGCACTCAAATACTCCATGTGCATATTCACACATATCTCCACGTCTACAAGCCCCTTTCCTAAAATCAGGGCATGGCACACAGCTGTAATGGAACTTCCTTGGGTCCCTCCTTCGAGCATTCTCCCCAGGATGGACAAATGGACACTCAGTCCAATCATGTGAGTATGCCCGGGAACAAGGTCTCACCTTGAACGAAAACATCCGAAACTCATCTGTTGCATATATGCTGTTTTTTATATCAGGAACTGACGGATCAATTGGATATTCTTTCTTCTCAAACAAAGAGCCAATAGCTGCATCACTAAACTTCGAAGCCACAGGAGATGGCGGCGAGCCTGAAGGAGAGTATGGCATTCCATTTGATGAATGTGCAGGAGAAACAGGACTGGAAGAATTAAAAGACACCCGAACATAGAATTCACCAACAGAGCCATCAGAAGCGTTGTCTGAAAGAAGCTCCTCAAGAATAGTTTTCATCCCTCGCATCTTGAGAGGAACAACAATAACATCAACAGGGCGATTACCATTCACATCCACGCAATTCACATCAGCACCGGCTAATAGAAGAAGCTTCACAGCATCAATTGCATTAACAGACCCACCAGAAGCAGCACAGTGAAGGGCAGTGCTTTTATTCACCCCACAGGCAAGATTCACATCTGCCTCTGGGCACGACAGTATAAGCTTCAGAACATCGATGCTACCGTACGTAGCAGCAACCATCAAAGGGGTTCTATGCTCAAGAACAATTTGCTTTGATCCATTCTTACGGCCATACCAGAGCCCAACTTCATTGATCGAAGAAGAATCCTTATCTACAAGAATCTTGAAACCTTCAATGTCATTGTTAGAAGCAAGTTCCAGCAAACTGGAAAAAGAATCTTCAGTTTTAACAGTTAGCGTTTTCATATCTTTAACGTTGGTTGTTGTGACTAAAGGCTGAAGAAGACGAAGGTGAGGAGAATTTGATTTCTGTGGACCACCTGCAAATGGCTTCAATTAACTGGATCCCAACCACCATAATTCATATAAATAAATAAATAACCAACAAATGCTCAAAATTTTTTAAAAAAATCAATAACTTACCCGGTTTTTTTTTTAACGAGTGCAAGACACACAATAAATCTTTAATAAATAATAAAAATAAAAAATTATAGTATTTAAATGTTATCCGTACATTTGATATCTTGTAATTTCAAACAAAATATTTACTATAAATAGATTCAACACACATTTAAAAAAACTGATAAATTAAACGAAAAATAACTAAATCTGCCATAGAAGGAACACAATTACACAAATAATAAAATATTAACTATGAATTTCAACAACAGATTAAGCAAATAACATGCCTGGTTAAAAACAATGATATAACGATAAAATTATTTAATTAATAAAAAAAAATCGCAAGATAGCATTATGAACACCGTATTTTATCCAAGTAATGAATCATTTCCACTACATTACACATATATTTTGGCTCCATTACCATGTAAATTTACAGACCGACCATGTAAATTTTTAATTTCAACACTAAAGTTATTGCTTAACTGATAAAAAAATAAAAGTAAAAACAGGGGGGGGGGGGGAAGAAGAAAAATTCATCAGCTCTGGAAAAAGAAAGATGCTCACCAATTACATGCGCAAGAAGTGACGATCATGTGAAATAAAAAGAATCTGCAACGAATCGGAATGTGAATTGAAAAAATGCAAAGAGTGCAAGTGTAGCAAGCTACAAGATCTGGGACAGAAAAGAGCCTAAACCTTCACTCTCCATCGATGATATTGAGGAAACATTGGGAGAAGAGTTGCAAGGAGAAAGAGAGAGAAAGTAGTGTTTGGAGAGGGAGAAAGTAACGTCTAGAAATTGAAATGGAAATGAAATGAAGGTAAATTTAAAACTAATTTATTTAAGAGCAAATGGGAAATGGAAGTGAAATGATACTGAAATGCACGCCAAATGAAGACTAAATGAAGTCTCTCGACTAATACTATATTTTTTTTTCCTTGAAAGAGTGGATTAATAATATGTTTAGTTTTAAAATAAAAAATAATAAAATTTTAAGATATTTGCTTTAAAGAAGAGTTTTTAAAATTAATAATTATGTCCTTAAAAATATAAAGTGTGTGTTATAAATAATAATCAATTTTCTATCTTCTATTTTTTATAATTTTGCCAAATTCTAATTTATGTAAGCCACAAATAAAGAGTTTCTTTTTTGTTATTTTTTAATACAATCAAATCTGAAAAAGTTGAAAATTTTATCATTTTTTTTTTCTTAAATAGTTAAGTGTGAGTCCCGGAAACCGGAGGGGCGCTGGTGGTGAGTAGGGAGAGTGGATTTATTCTGGAATTAAAGTGGAATGAATTGTAGGATTGAAATCCCCCAATCAGCAATCGACGCGTGTTCCAATGATTGGAGAGTAAGGACACTGGTCAATTGTGTTAATTGTGGAGTCAAATCGGAAAAACGCGAAACAAAAATATCTTTTATTATTTAAAGTGCAAGCCTCAAATAACAAGGTTATAATACTGCATATTATTATAAATATTTTTTTAATGTGTGTTTAAAATATATAAGTTAAAAACAAATTTTACTTAAAATATTTACTTAATATTATTAATATATTGAATTATTTAATATTTTAATTTTAATTAATTTTCTTATATGTAATTTTTATTGTGCAGTGTACTTTCGAATATACTTTAAAAATTGTGTTATAAAAATGTTAAGCTAATAATAATTTTAAATCCACTAAATTTGATAATTTCTTTTAAAAATCACAGTTAAAATATAAAATATAATATTTTAATAACAATTTATTACTTTTCAAAGCTTAAATTATAAAATTTAAACAATATAATTTTAGTATTATTAATAAAATTTAATAAATAATATTTTATTAAAATTATAATTATTTTTATTAATTTAAATTTAAAAATTTATTATATAAAAATTTTGAAAAATATTAACTCTATCCCTTAGAACTAAATAAACAACTTCCTTCAATCATTTTTATAAAAGAAATTAATAATTAATTATCAAGACAAAAAAAAAGTATATATATCATGAATTTATAATATATTTTAAAATATTTTTTCTAACATGTATAATATAAGAATATATATATATATATATATATATTAATTTTTATTAAAAAAATTTATTAAAATTATTATATATAATTTCTTATTTTGTGAAATAATACAAAAGTTTAAAAATTTATATTTTTAAAAAAATTCATAATAATAAATGGTTAAATTTTTGGCTCAATCATTAGATAAATAAATATATTCATTCATATAAGTGATTTGCGAATAATTTATTAATACCAATATGAGTCACGATGAGACGATAAAAATAATTTAATAAAGATGAAAGTTAGCAATACTTTTTTTAACATACTTCTCATTATTAATTAAAATTTATTAAAAACTATAAAAGTATAAAAGAGAAATATAAATTTAAAAATAAAAAATTAAATTTAAATAATTTTTATATTTTTCAATTATTTTTAACAAATAATTAAGAGTGTATTATATGTATTATTGCTTAATAAAAAATTTTATTTAATAACCACTATCTTTTAATTTGTCTTAAAGCAATTATTATTTTTATCCTTGTCAACAAACGTATCAATTTTTTAGCTAATTAACTATAACAAAAGTTGTTGTTTCTTTAGCAATTTCAAAAAAGAGAATGCTAGTTGAAATCCTTATGTTAAATGTAACTAATCTCAAATACGACATTCATTAGAAACATCAACTCCTGTTCATTGTTGGCATGATTAACAATCACGTGCATAAGAAGGAAAAAAAAAAAAAAAAAACACTTCATAGTAATTGAAGCCTTTACATAATAACCTATAAAAATATACTTTATGACATGCATAAATGAAAATTAAGTACAAAATTTTATTATCATAATTTTAAAGTGAAAAAATAAAAGATGATCAAAAGTGAGAAGAAAATGAATAAAAAAAAAGGAGCTTATGAAAAATAAAAATAATTTAATATTAATATTTAGAAAATGTCTACCTTTATTAATCAACACAAAACAAAGATAAATTTTAATAAATGATAGAATTATTGATGATTCTATTTTCAATAAAAAAAATGCTATATTTTAAACTAATAACATAATTATGATAGAAGGTTAATAGTGATAATAGTGTTATGATTTTTTTTTATAAGGAATTTGATGAGTTGATTAAGAGTTAAAATTAAGAGTAAAAATTACTCTTTTTTTCATCAATAATATATGGTCGAATTAGCTTTAATATAATTAATTTGATACGTTTATATTTATTTTTTCCTTTCTAACTTAAGACTTACGTATATTATACATGTGAATGAATACATTTTCTCTTTTTTATTCTATGCATCTTCTTTTCATTCTTGCTATTCATTTTCTATCAATATTGACTTGATACCTTATAATAAGCAAGTCATTAGATATTGAGTTAGTCACATATACTTATAGAATGAGAAAATAAATAAACTATATTTTTTAATAAAATAAATCAATTATATACTATATATTTTTAAAAGAATTGACCTTTAATTTTTTTATATGGGGATAGAATTAAATCATATTAGTATTAAGTCTTAAACATGGTAACATGCACATCTAATAATTTTTTATTAAAATTTGATTTTATTTCTATTCAATTTAATTTTTTATAAAATAAATCAATTTTACACAATTTTAATATTAATTGATTCATCATCACCTGCTGTCACTATAAAATAGTCATTTACTAACAATATAATATATTATTATAAAAAATTGGTTATATTAGTATAGGCCAATAATTTTTTTCAAATTTCAAAGTTTTCAAGCATTTAGAATTAGATGGAAAAGACTGTCACACGTGATGCTGCTTTTGATAAATTACAATTTTTCTTTAGACAACATAACTTAATAATTTATGCTACTTTATTAATTCCTTTTATTAAAGTTGTGAGTCTCTTGAAGTTATTAACTTAATGCAATTACACTCAATACAATAACCCTTAATAATTTAATCTGTACAAGGAATATACTAAATTTATACTTTGATACTAGTCTTGATTTGCCTTCTTAATCCAATAGATAAAAAACAATTGTAAAAATTTATAATTTTCTTTTAAGTCAATATTCATTCATCACTAAAGGTAATGTTGAAATGTTCATATCTAAAAGTATATAATGTTACAGTTAATTATAAACTCATTTTAATAAAAGTAATTTTTCAATATTTTTATAAAAAATAAGCTATGATTAAAAATATCAAACATTAATTAAAAATAATAATATCTAGAAGGTTATTCTTTGCCTTATGGATAAATAGGTAATAACCTAAAATATAAATTTAAATAGCACCTAATGGGAATGAAAATAAGTACAAAGACACATTTATTATCGTAAGCTTTACTTGATAAAAGGATTTGACTATAAGAAGACATATTGTCTAGTTGTCAAGTTAAGTACTATTAGAACAATCCTTATTGTTGTTATTTCTAAGTAGTTGTCAATTAAACAAATTGATTTTTTAAATGGTAACTTAATTGAAGAAATGTACATGCAACAACCTCATGATTTCGGTATGTAATAGCAATTTCACTCTTGTTTATATAGATGAAACAATTATCCAATGATTGAATGCTATTTTTTTCCTTAAAAGACCTAGTTGACTTGCACTATTTTTCCCCTTAAAGTTCTAAAAACAAAAGAAGGAGACATATTTTTGTCTCAAGCTAAATATGTTTCTAACTTTCATACAAAGTTAGGATCACATATCGTAAACTCACCCCTACTCCTATGACATCTTACTCAAGATATAGGCTAACTAAGGCTTTTCCTTCCATGACTCTTTCATATATAAATTAATAGTTTGAGCTCTTTAATATGCTACATTTACTTACTTATCCTAGAATTGTCTATTATGTCAAAAAGGTATGTCAATTCATTAATAGTCCTATAAACTTTCATTAAAAGAAAGTAAAACATATACTACGGTACTTACATAGTAATAACAATTTTGGTTTCACTCTAAAACATTGATCCAATCTCAAATTATATACCTATACATACTCAATTTAGGAATTTAACCTTGATAGAAAAGCCTTAGAATATGTATTTTATCTTCATCTTATTCTAATTTCTTAAGCTACTAAGAAGTAATCAATTATGTTAAGGTCAAGCTCAAAGACAAAGTATAGAAGCATTACTTTAAAAATGATTGAACTTATTTGGTTAAAATTCTTGTAAGCTAAATTCAAAATCTTAATTTCATCCAATACTCCATCTATATTCTATGAAAACCTTAGTACAATTCTTTCCACTATAAATTTGATCCTATGCTTCAAAAGAAAATGCTTTAAAATTAATTTACACTTTGTTAAAGAAAATTTGCTTAGTTTATAGTTGTTATTTACTACATTTTTGCTACAACTTAAGTTGCTAGTATCTTTACTAAAGTTGTCTCGTCTTTATTTCATCAATTTTTTGCAAAACCCAATAATATAGTAAAGCATCCACCCAGCATCAAGAAGAACAAAAATATTTATTTTTGTGAAACTTTTGTTAATAAAATTAGTTTACTATCTTTACATTTATTCTTGAATTTCCAGGCTTAACCTTGTGAATATAAAAACTACCTTTATACTATTTCAATATAAGTGAATAAATATATTTTCTCTATTTTTTTATTTGTTATTACTTCCTTTTATTTTTATTTTTCATCTTTTATAGTATTAATTTGATAATTTATAATAAATATGTTGTTAGATAATGAGTTAGTAAAAAAATATACTTATAAAATAAGAAAAAAATTA